CTGCCTCCGCACTATCATCTTCATCATCCTCGTCATCATCCTTTTTTTTCTTCTTTGTTTTGCGGTCTGCCACTTCACTGCTGGAGCTCTTTTTGGTCTTGCGGCTTGGCCTCTTCTTGGGTTTCTTTCCGGAATCCTCCTCTTCGTCCTCATCGAAGTCTTCGAACTCCTCTGGTTCCTCTTCGCCCTGCTCTTGTCCATCAGCACTCTGGCTGTCCTTCACCTCAAAACGAGGCAGCCGCTTCACGCGTGCGGGCTCCGGCTCCTCCTTCCTTTGCTTTGAGGCACCTTCAGCACCCCTTGCCAAAGCATTCAGGTCGTGGAGCTCGCCCTCGTAGTCGGCCGTCTGAAACACCGGCACATTGAAAGAGGGTGAGCTCTCGGTGCTCTGGGAATCCACCTTGATTGTTCATTGTGTTCCTCCTAGCTATAGCACATCCAGCCTCGATAGGTTCAAATATTTTCTCAGAGCAGCCTAGGCGCATGATGAGCTCCCGCCATGGTTGGCCCCAGCAAACCACAGCTAAAAATGAAGCCGAAAAATCTTGTGACATCTAAGTTGCATCATGCTCTGTTCTGGTTGCAGGACCGGCTGCACTTCACTGGCACTGCTGCTGCGCTTCGCTGCCGACAGAACTGCTGCTGGCTACCTCGCACCTGGGCCTCATTCATAAGCGGATTCGTTCAGGGCTATTTTGCAGCAGACGACCAGCTTTGAAGGATGGTCAGGGATTGGTCTGCGTGCACGACGGCCTAAAATGAGAAATCGCCCCGGCAAGCCCAGCTGCCCCGGCCCAAACACATGTGTGCCATTTATTTGTAAGCGTAATCTCTCAAGAACCTCTGAAGTCTCAACAGAGAACTCCATAACACAGGGGGCCATGACCCAGTTATAGTTGTTGTCTGTAGACCGGACAACCAGGCCTAGACCGAGGATCCTAGTTTCCTATAAGAGTACCCTATGTCAGGTGACCGGCACTCTTCCAGCAGCAAAAGTAGTGACTCCAACACCTTCTAAGGTGGTCCATCTGGTGTCTGCACTGCGGCTGGTGGCAACATGTATGCTTGGCAGCCTTATTCGGTCATGCTGGGGAATTTGGGATGTAAGTCTAGTTGTCAGCACAGAGAGAAAGGCCTGGTACAGAATGCCAGACAAGCTACTTGCTCTTGAAGCTACTATAACTTCAGCACACATGCACACGCCTGACGGTTTCCCCGAGTCACAAATGACCCCAAGAGATCTTCTCATCTCAGAAAAGTCGGAGCACGCCCGGCGTGACCTGAACTTCTTGGGCATGAAGGAGCACAGGTCTCACAGGTGAGAGAACACGATGATGAGTGAGCCTCAAGGGATCAGCAAGAAGATTTGGCAAACATACAGAGTGACTGCACAGCTCGTACATTTGTTATCACATGGAGGGCGGATGTACACCGGCCTCATACGCCATGTCACATGGAATGGAGGGCGAAGAGCACGGATTTTGGCCGGATCCATGTGTGCACCGAAAGAAAGCGGGCGGGCCTCAAAACCAGAGCACACAAACAAGCACACACAGACACATGTTTGGCAAACATCCGCACCGGGACAAAGCACCAAACAACCGGCCTTCGAAATTTTGCGCTTCTTTGCGCCGCTTTTCAATGCATCCATGACGAATACAATCTTCTCGTCACATGTCAGCTCATCGTTCTCCTGGCTTTTCGTGTGGCTCATGATCGTCACGAGCTCCCCAGCATCTTCCAAAGCCACCAGGAAGTGGTGCAGGCTCGCGACCTCAACAGTTTTATATAACAGTTTTGTTTCTAAGCTCGAGATTGACTGCAGGGATGGATCAAGGAAGAACGAGCCAACTGTGACTTCAACGGACATAAAGAATCAACTGTGACTGGAATGCAAAAGAGGAATCGGAAACCATTGTGACTTGTATGCACACATGCAAGGTTGACTTAGTGATTACATTAACTGCATGTCAGTAGCCTTGTTCCAAATCGCCAGATCTTTTACTTCTTCCGGCAACTTTCGGTCACACTCCACTATGACCTGGATGTCCTTGATGGAGCCGGTCAGGCAGTAGCGGAACCACCGCCCATTTGGATCCGAAAGAACATCGTTGGCTGTGGCACCGTCCGCGAAATCTCCAGACCCGAACCCAAAGAATTCCATATTCGATGGGATGTTAGTAATCCGGTCGCTGTTGATCCAGAGGCTCGCCTCTTCCATATCATACAGCATAGTGAAATCTGTCATGCCACACTCAATCAGCCTCCGATTCCAGGTCCACACATTGCTATGAAAACAGCCGGTGAAGAGCAACAACTACTATAAAATAATTTTAATAGACAAGACACGTGTGGTGATTCGCACGGAAAGCCGTGAAATCATCAAAGGCCTTGTGCAACTTCTTGGGGCTCTGTCGGAGTCGCTTCACCTCAGTATCCCCAGCCGCAGGCCCACCGGCCGTCTTATGATCTCGATTGAAATCATGGTCGTGCTTCTCCAGGAGCTTTGTGAACTCCTCGGACACCACCTGGGATGCCTCGAACTTGTTCTTCAGCGCCTGGCCACAACAGCAACACTAACAGCTGCAAGCCACACCTCACCTGAAACCACAAACCTCAGGGCACCTGGAGGACGATGAGGGAACCGCCCACCGGCACGGTCACCTGGTAATCATACTCCGACCGGGCTTCGGTCGTGTGCACCTTTGAAAGATCCGCCATGGCCGCGGCAAAGTCCGGAAACCCATTGATCGTCATTTGCTTGGACTTTGCCTTGCTGAACAAGGCGTGCAGAATCACGTCCTGGAATCAAAAGCACATAAATTGCAACAGGGAGTCAATGGACTGTGAACATGTCCCAAGTTTCCTTGCAGAACTTGAGCTCCACATCCGTGTGCGCAACCATGGCACAAACACTCTTCGAGTTTTCCAATTGCAGCTGCAAGACTGCAAGTGCGATCCAGCCGTCGTGCGCGAACAGGTCCACAATCACCGAGTGCATTTTGTGCACTTCCAACGCAGTCAAGACCCGCTTGATGAGCCCGGTCCCGGCAAGGTGCTGTCTCATCTCCTGCCAGGCAAAGCAACGGATAAGAGCAGCAGCAGCAGCAAGTAATTTAAAATGCATGAAACAGCCAGTCATTCTGAATACTACGAGTGTCCTGGGCCCAGGACAGCCGATCCGTATCGGCACAAACTTTGCGACCGACCTCAACTTTCACCATCTCCTCGGTCACACACTCATACATGTAATGAAAAACCTCACGCAGTCACACCAGCACAGACAGTGTGAAGAACACCAAGCCACCGCCCGAGGCAGCATCGGAACTTTGTCGATCACAAGCCTTTTGAAAATCGTTTTCCGGGTCAAGGTGCTGGCCTGTGTGCTGGTGACCAACCAGCACTCATGACACGCATTTCGCTGGCCATAGATTGAAGACTCGTCGAAGATCATGTTCAGAGTGCGCACCTCCAGGCCTCGTGCTGGGTCTTGCAGGGTCACCAGGAGGTTGTATTTGAAATCGCGCAGCGCCGACGATGCTTCCGCCTTGTTCTT